CCCCAAAACCCCAAAACCCCAAAACCCCTAGCAGGATGTTAGATTAAAATAAAGTAGTTTTGCAAATTAATTTATTATCTATAAACTAGGGAAACCTCAAAATAAATAAGATTTATTAATTATCTTACTATAATTATATTTAAAAATGTCCGGAATTCTTTATACCTCTTACATAATATATAAGAATATTATTTTCATTCTACTAGTAGTCACTTTCTTTCCATATCAAATGTAAGAAATTCATGAACTCTTTTTCCAGATATTTGTTTTGAATTGAGGCAATTCTTTAAAAGCTTTTTCTATTTATAGAGTTTAAAATCTACCTTAGTGTTTTGGGTTGAAGCAACTACCCATTGAGCTTGATAATAACAATGATTTTCTAATTGAATCTAAATTTACGGTATTATAATATGATGAGAATCAACGTTACTTTGCTGTGGGAGGAACATATGGATCTGACATAATTATAGGATTATATAATAACATGGAAAATATGAATTGATTTATGTGGCTAAATACCTATAACTATATGACTGGAATAAATTTGGTAACTTACTAGTTGGAATGGGTAGATTCTATAGAATTTCAATAACACTCACATATTATTTCACTAATAAGGTCAGAGTAAAAAGGACTCACTTCAAGTTTGTCAATCAGAGATTACCTACTTTTAAAATAAGAATTATCAGGCAGAATCGTAAAATAAGCAATTTTAATAGATTGTGGTATGATCGCTAAGCCTATGACTAATATCATGAGCGTATGATAGTCAGATGGTGCTATTTATGTTATAAAATCTGATTATCAAGAACAATAATAAGTAGGGAGGATTTTAATAATTAATAGCGAATTGACTGCAATAAGTAATCAATTAACATTTATAACAGCAGGATAGATGCCTCTATCTGTTTAAGCACTTTAAGGTACCGGATATATCATGCTAATGGGAATTTAATATATTTAAGATAACCAATATGATTTATTTGCAGCTTCTTTCGATAACTATAATGTTTTTGATGTGAATAATTAAGGCATTAATTCCTAAGCAGCACCCTTTAATGCTATTATTCGCTAAATGTATTATAACTTTGGTTACTTAGTTGGATGCATAGAGAGTTTAGAAAATGATTCTGCACTTATGGGAATGTTTATCTTTCACATTAATTCTCCCTAATCTAATGTACTATTAAGATCTGCAACCCAAACTTACTTTGAAAGGAATTTTGAGTGTATTGGAGTTAAAATAGCTGCAGTTGATTTAATAAGCCTAGTCTATACTGCTTAAAGTGCTGAAATTAATCGTATTTTCATTGTTACTTTAAAGGTAGATCCATTTACTCATCCTGTAACCACACTTTCTGAATAAGTATTGGTTTAAATGAAATATGAAGCAACCAAAGTTTACTAATTTAAATATGTCGATACTAAGAATGATTACTTCCATCTTGGATAAGTAAAAGAAAATTCAGGGTTTTAAAAGGCTTATATATCTTAGCTATCATCAACAAATACTTACTACAATATTTTTGAAGATTATAACTAAATTAAGGATACTTCCTATAACTATTCCTCTTTTAGATAAGCTTTATCAGTTTCATAAGGCAATAATATGGCTCCAAATAATTTTATTCTAGTACAAATCATTTAAGAATTTCAAAATCTCTTACCATAGGTTACATTATGGAAAAACTAATAGAATAAAACTAGCAGTCAAATTAATGTATCACAGCTTCAACCTTTATAGGAGAGGAGACCAAAATAATTAACACAGTATATTGATTGTTTTTTAGGGGAGTTGTGCGAAATTTACTTTTCAAAATTTAGCTTTGCAAACTAATGTAGTGATGAAGTAACAATCAACAAGATGTATAGTTTAGGAATCACTATGAATTAAGGCAATTTGAATTACTATAATGTTTCTGAATATAGCACAATGATTGCAAATTTCTCATTAAGATTGAATCAAACCAGCTTAGTTGGACATTATAGTATATAAATCACCTATAATATTTCAGAAACACCAGATCTTATTAAAAATTGGGTTATTTTCAAAGAAAATTTCACTTTAAACGTATCAAATGCTTGCTAACTAGAATATAAGGTGCTTGAAAATATTCAGAATGTTTCGATCAGACATAAAATTTCTACTGATATAATATACTAATCAATTCCCAGATTAATATTAGCACCACATCAAAGTTGCTTTAAACAAACTCCGAGCATAATTCGATATCTTAATGAATAAGATGTGTCTCAGATTATCATTACTGATAAATTATCAGACTTTTAAGTTGGTTTTCTAGTAGATTCTCCAGAAAAAATTGGTGTTTATGAATTCCTATTCTCTGTAAAAGTAGAAGCTGACATTGAATATTTTGAGCCTAAAACATATCAAACATACTCATTTAAATTTGTAGTTTACAATGAAGTTGGCTAATTTTTCATAAACAACACTGCACCATACTTTTTATAATCAGTTTTAGATATTGAAGTTACTGTTGGATAGATGAAAACTATAGATCTTCCTGAAATAAGAGACGATGAAGGAGATGATTTTACAGTTTAAATCAT